GCGTGGCCTCCCCACGCCGCACACATGGCCGTGTCTTGTGCGGTCACCCTATGCCACCACGCTGGGTCGGTTGGGACGCCTGGGCTTAGCCGAGGCCGGCCATAGCGAGCCGTTGGCCCCATGCCCTGTTGCCCTACCTCGCGCTGCTGCCATTAGTGCCGCCATGGTCGCGGTGCGCTGCCGTCGCATCCACCCACTGCTGCCTCGCCGCAGTGCAAACCCTCCTCGCGTCACGACACTGCCACTGCCCTCGCATCGTCGTCGCATCCGCGCTTGTCCGCTGTAACCCTACGCCGCTACCGGCCCAATTCAATGCCGCAGTTGCCACGCGCAAGTGGCCGAGCCACCGTCGCCATGTCATTTAAGACACTGTGGATGTGTGGGCCACGTCGGTTGGACGTGCGCACGCTTTGTCTGTAGCGCCTGTGCGTGGGTGTCCAGATCGCACCCCTCGCGTCCCACCAAGGCAAGGACGAGCCGAGCCACCTGCCGCGCTCGTCTCTCTCTTTCTCTCTTTCTTCTTCTGCTATCGCCGTCGAGCCGTGCCATTAAATTCATCAGGGAAAGATCACCTCAAGTCGATTCGTCACGTTACTGGCTCTGTCACACAGCTGCCTAGCACCCGACCCCGCCCAGGTTTGAAGCAAGCACGACCAAGCTCCAATTTGGAGTTTCTTCTACCGCCGTGCAGATAAGGCCGCGTCTGGCCACGAGTGAGGGCAGCTCTCCCATCATCTCTCCCGAGCCAATTCACCCGCGCCACTAGCATCGCCTTGACTCCCTCTCCACCTTGCGTGCCTTAGTCGAACTGCTATCGCCTCTGCTTCGTCCCTGACACGACCGTGCTGCCACCGTGCATCGCCGCACGGCTCGACCGCACGTGGCCAACCTTCCTCCGTCATCCTCCGCCCTAGCTGTCACCTCGGTCTAGTCCGTGGTAGCCTCCTGATGCTCACGCGCTAACCGATTAGGTCTGTAGCTGCCCTAGCTCACTAGAATAGTGGCGCCACCATCGCGGATGGCCGCGCGTCGCTGCAGCCTTTCCCAGCGAGTTCTATCACCCCTCACCGCCGCTTAGCGTAGCCGCTCGGGTCAGAGATGGTGATCGACCCGTTAGGTGGGCTCGCGCAAGTCCCAGGTGGCCGGCGTAGGCGCTCAGTGCCGCCGCTCGCCGTGCTGTCGTGCCCTGGGTCGTTGGGATTGTGTGCGAGCAAATTAGGGAAAGGCCAAGGGGTTAAGTGAGAAGTTCTGAGAGAGGGGAAAATAGCGCCAAGACTTAGTTGTATTTCGGGAGAAGTGTGAGGTCTCTTTTGCAAAGTCGTCGACGCGCACGGGGTTTCCGCGCCGCGAGCCGTCTCCGCAGCGGGCAGGCGCCACGTGGGCCACGTGGGAGAATTTGTTTTTCTTTTTCATAAGGAATTAGAAATAATTTTATAATATAATTTTTGAGCTGATCTTTGGTAAATCATATAAAATCGTGTAGATGTCTAAAAATTGTGAAACAAATTTTGTTAAGTTCCTAAAATTGTGCTCTATCTGTTATTGTATTTAGTTCATATATGTATGTGTTGATACCAGGAGCTATTAAATCATCTAAAAATGTTTAATATTGTTAGGAGAATTATTGTAGGAATTTTTATGGTAAATTGGTGATAGCTTTAGTCCTAAAAAATTTATGGTAGCTTCATTGTATTATTATGTGCTCACTGTAATTTTTGTAGGTTTAGAATAGATTAAGCATTAGGGTAGTTAAATGCTCTTTATTTCAAATATGCATTAAATCATTAGTAGGAATAAAGATATATCCTTCATTTGTAAAGCTAGGTGTTTGTTAGTTGAACCTAATACTTTGCTTGGTAAAAATAATAGTTAGATTAGTACCTTAGTCATTAGAGCTAGCTTAGTAGCTTGATATGCATATTCTTATTGTAAGAGTTGTTGTTGCATAAATACTAAGTGTTGCATCATCGTTGCATGCATGTAGAGAACGAGTTGGTGGAGTCCGTGACCATCGGAGAGCAAGAGTACGAGGAGGTGATCGAGGAGTACGAGGAGGAGGTCCTCATACAGGAGGAAGCCTCGGAGCCACCGACAACTGACATAGCTGACAATCCGCCTGTCCAAGCCAAGCCCCGGTGCATAATCCTTATTTTGAATAATCATTGGATATATATATATATATGTGTGTGTGTGATGTGCATTTACTTTACAGGATTTTATATTGAAACTACATGCATAGATAAACCTACCTATGAGTCATATTAGCATAGGTCGAGCAGCTGCTATGCTTAGGCTATCGGTAGCGTGAGTTACCTGTTGTTACTCACAATAGGTGATTATTATTATTACTCTCATGATAAAATGGTGAAAGGAAATGGAGATCGAACAGGGATATGGTATGGGTATTGATGGGTGTAATAGGTTGTGTCCCGTGGCCAATGGGGCATAGCTTGCTTACACTATTTTCCCAGTCCATGTCGGTTAAGGACCGTCCGTTGCTGTGGATGGTAGTCAGGTCACAGACTTATTGTCCTGAGCACATACTTGCTTATGGGAGCGGGAAGGCTTGTTGCTCTCTTGTCGTGAGCTCCGGCTCTTTTCGGACCGACTAATTGGAGGCGGGGATGGTAGAGGTCTAAACACCACATTGAGTCCGGGACTCAAGAGTGGGGGCTTAGAGTCCAAGTTTGGACGGGGACTTAGACCCCTTGATAGGAGAGTGGTGGGTTGGTCTTGCTTGTGTCTGGAGTACAAGCGGGACGTGTGTTTCAGGGTACCTAGCTGGGATAGATTGGTTCGTGAATCACCGTGTGATACGGTATGACTTGGCTATGGTCTAGCACCGTAGGAAGAACTGAAAGATGAAAGGAGATGAATGGATCTGATTGCTCAACTCTTGCTTGAAAGTAGAACATGTGCTTACATAGAATGATTAGCTAATAAACTAATCATGACTGCTAATAAAACACATACACAAGGATTCACTACTAGTAATGCTTTTCGCAAAAAGGAAACCCAGTAAACCATAAAACTTATCATATCCTTTGGAGTCGAGAAATTATTCCCACTAGTCGGGTAAGTCTTGCGAGTACATTGTGTACTCAGGTTTTATTTACCCCTATTATAGGTGCAGCTTGAGGAGTGGCTGTTGTGTGGAGGATTCTTTTGGTGGGCACATATGGATCCTTATATCTTATCGTTAGATATTTATTCCAATTCCGCTATTTAAATTCCACACTCTAAACTTGGTATTGTAATAATGTATTTTTGAGAACTCTTGTTGTATGAAATGGACTAAGTATTGTAAATTCGTTCTCATTATTGGATTCTGGATGAAAAATGTGGATTGTTCGAGTTCGCCCTTGGGGTGTGCTCGACGGAACCGTCCGACGTAGCTCCTTTTCGAGGTGCTTAGTGTCTAGTGGAAGACGAGCGCCTCCGAAAGTGTGTTATTTCGGACGGTTCTGCCACAATTAGCTATGACTAGTGATTAGCACAACCCTGTTTAGATCCACGGACTAACAACTAGCATTATCTCACTAGTCCTAATAGTTGGGTTTGATGGATTAGTAAACTAACAACTAGTTGAGGCTTGGACTAGTTGTTAGTCCATCCGCTAGTCCATCTGTTTGGATCCTTATGTGCTAAACTTTAGCTAACTAGTTGTTAGTCTATGAAATCCAAATAGGCCCTAAGTCTTATTATACTCGGCCCAAGGGACAATTTTTTAACAGCCCCACATTACCCTTGCCTTCCTACAGTTCTAGTTCTAGTTCTGGTACTATAAAGCCAACCTCTTGCGACTTGTCCTACACTCCTACTCCTCCTATGAACCCTTTCCGCTTGGGCGACGGCGAGGAGGCCGAGGGGGAGATTTGCTAGCGGTGCGACCGGGGGCGTGTCGGGATGGGCTTCCCGTTTCTCCACCCCCTGTTGAGACCTTGCTAGATCATACTACTACTTGCATTGGTGAAGCGTGGTCGTGTGAAAATATAACAAGATCCGAGCACCTCTAGCAGCCTCCTTTTTCTAACCCCCAACAAGAAAAAAACTATTATTTTAGAGATCTTGTAGCTCCAGCAGTTTCCCAAATCCAACCCCAATGAGAAAAAAAATTCTCAGTCTCTTAAATCATAGCCTCCCACCCCTCAAATAAAGAGGAGACATCTCCTCCCCCAATCCACTATTTTTCTCATTGGGGATTGAATTTTCTTGTTCCGCTAGAGTGAAGACCTTCAAAATCTCAAAACACGATTTGTATCTCCCCAATAACTATTTTTTTTATTTAGTGTTCTCCTCCCGCCGGAGATGCTCTTACACCATGCTTTTACGATCGTCGTATGCTTGGGCCTTGTACCACCATGCAGCATGCCTACGTGTTTCCTACAGTCTACCCGCCAAACTTACCTCAAGTCCCATAGGAAGGAGAAATGGCTTTGTGCTCTAAAGGTTGAGCATACTTTACGTTCTTATGAGTGATGACCACAAGCTTCCCACGGTAAATCGCTGCTGCAGAAAGAACTTGGTAGCAGAGGCAGATGTCATTCATCAATTTTGATTTTTGATACTCGGGTTGAGTCCTATTCCCTGGACTCAGGCCATACGCACAGATCCTCAGGTTGCTTACTTTCACATATACAGTCACACTCAAGTAAATCCGCCATGAGAGGCACAGGCAGCGAGATGCACAAACAAAGATGCACAAGTAACCAGCTTTCAGCCCAAACTCCAAAGATGCACATACAGTTTACTTTTTTTTTTCTCTCTTACACAAGTAACCGCGGGTAAAGGGAACAGGCATGGTTACTGTACATTTGTGTGATTATGGTCTTCCTTATTCGAGGAAGTCTCACATAAGTTGCCTACAATACATACGTGCGTCTCAAGGACAAGCAGTACATATACCCACAGTACTAATATATTATACTAGTATTATTTACAGCTGAAGCAATGGCTACAAGGCAGCGTGAATAAAAAGCACACCGCATATCTGGTTAACACTAGCAACCTTTAGTCCTATTGTAATCTGGAGGCAGGGATGGACATCTTTCGTTCATGTGGGCATATGGTTCCATGGTGTTGTATCCAGGCAGCTCCATCCGGTACCTGCCCTTGATTTGGCAAAAGGGGAGCTTCACATCGTCATCCTTGTTGCACCACTCCGGAAGTCGGGTGGAGTTGTCCTCAAAAAATTTGAGGGTGTAAGCATCTTTTATCTGCAAAATATGGGAGAAATAGATTTGAGAAAGACAAGACTCTGGCAATAGCCTCTGTATAAGCCTCTATTGTCAGAAACTCAAATGCACAAGACTTGCAGGCAAGCCTTCCCAATCCACCCTCTTTTCTCCCTAACAAAATGATAGGCCAGCGTTCCTCTGTGCACTAGATAATGAGATAGATGCATTCACGAAACATATGTCACCACCAGATCCTTTTGCTCTGACAAAGGTACCTATATAAGGCCATAGACTTGAACACAAGGATTCAGGAGCACTTACTGTGAATTCAGTAACTTCAACAGAGCTGGTAATAGGGTCAAAGAGTCCAGCCTCCTTGTACATCATAAGGACGAAAGCTATACAAGATGCTGACTGACCATCTTCATAGACCCAACTATCATTCTCAGGAACAGTTAGTAACTTGTCAAATGTTATCCCACGTTTCTCTGATTCCACTATGATTTCAGAAAGGTGAAGACCCTGAAAATCAAACAAAAGAACTAAATAACCATAGAGCGCAATAAAATGAAATTGTTGAATCCAAGATTTCTGTATACATGAATAATTAACACAGTATAAAAGTGTCAATAGGCCTAAGAGTGAAACTACAAAATAGTTATATCAGAAGATATTAAGCAATAAGCGATGACAGTTGTATATACATACAAGAAGGAATCCAGGTACAACTTAGAGTACTTGACCCCATAGTCTGAACACAAATGTCTAGCACATAACGGCATTTGTATTTCTACCTATAAGCCCCTTCTGCTCACACAAGCAGGCCACGTGAGCATAGTTGACGAAGTTAAAATTTTCAGTACAAACTAAAGTGCCCTAAAATGGACTAAGCAGGAAACTCAAATCTGCATCCATGCTTAGCAAAGGTTCTATACTTCTATTTCAGAACCTAGCTAGAACCCAACCTGCTCTATAGAAACCCTCTACAGGATGGCAAACATGAAAGGTGTCATGCATCTCGATCCTCTATGGTATCAGATTAAAAAGGCTAGGGATCTGATCATGTGTGCAGGATATCCGAGGTTACTAAGATGGCCAACTTGAATTGTGGTATTACCTATCCAGCTATACCACTGTTTATTGCTATTAAGTTGCATGCACCGACCAGTTCAACCCAAAAGCTTAAGCTGATGGGGAAAGGTGGGCAATTCACTTATATTCCAACGCTCCCCCTCACGTGGAGGCTCCCTCAGGCCTCAGACGTGGAATAGGAGCGAGCAGCAATTATTTCATTTAATTCGCTAACCAGGATTCGAACTCGAGACCTCTGCCTCTGATACCATTTGTTAGAACCAAAACATAGGTTTGGGGCTAAATTTTAGATTTCATTAGCCATGCCACAACTATGGCAGGTTGGGGATACAACTATGGCAGCGGCTGCGCTCCGTGCGGAGGCGGACGCGGGCGAGCAGGAGGACTACGACCCCCGGGCGGGCGCGTCGGATGCAGGAGCAGCGGCTGCTGTGACTCTGCGCCGCGGAGCGGACGCCGAGCGGGCCTGGCCCGACGCGGGTGGCCTGGGCGGACGCGGTGGACGTGAGGCTGGCGACCGCGACAGCTTCGACAACCGACGTGGGCCGCTTCGACGGACGACGCCGCGACTTCGACCGAGACGAGCGAGCGACACGCGACGCCAACGCCTGGCTGGAGCAGGAGGAGCGGTGTGAGGCACGGGACCTGGGCGGACAGGACGCTGGCACGTGGAGCCCTCACAGGCGACGCGCCTCCCCTTCCCTGGACCGGCGCCATGGTCGCCGTGGCCGGCCCGGCTCCCCTCCCATCGTGCAAACCGTCATCAAGGACGCCGGCGGTGGATGGCCCATGCTCACCAAGACCAACTATGCCGAGTGGTCCATGGTGATGAAGGTGAAGATGTAGGCGCGGCGCATGTGAGATGCGGTACGGTACGGCGACGCCAACTTCGACGAGGATCGGCGGGCACTAGAGGCGCTTCTTGCTGCTGTTCCAACAGAGATGCACTCCTCCCTCGCGAATAAGCGGACCGCCAAGGACGCCTAGGACGCCATCGCCGTGGCACGCATCGGAAGTGATCACGCCCGCAGGTCCACACTTCAGAAGCTGCGTCAGGAGTCGGAGAACCTAGCTTTCAAGCCGGGTGAGGACGTCGACGACTTCGCTCTCCGCCTCAACACCCTGATGCAGTAGTTGGCATGGTACGGCGATAACGACATCAACGAGGAGAGAGCTATCGAGAAGTTCCTCTGCGTCGTCCCCAAGAAGTACTCGCAGGTCGCCATCGCGATCGAGATGTTGCTGGACTTCTCTGAGCTGTCGATCGAGGAGGTGATGGGTCGCCTCAAGGCCGTCGACAACCGCGAGCAGCTACCTCGCCCAACAAGCTTCTCTTCACCGAGGAGCAGTGGCTCGCCCACCAGCAGGAGCGGAAGTAGGGGGAGGCCTTGGGTTCTTCGGCTTCGGGTTAGTCGAGCAGCCGCAAGCATTGGCCGCACAGGCAGGACAAGGCGCGTGGTGGCGCTCCTGGCGGCGCCGACGACGAGCGCAAGGCTACCTGTGACGACACCTGCAACAACTGTGTGAGGTCCGGCCACTGGGCCAAGGACTGCGGGCAGGCGAAGCACGGCGGTCAGGCACAAGTCGCGCAAGCACAGGAGGGTGACGAGCTGGCTCAGTTCTTCGTACACAGGAGCATGGAGCCGCACTCCTCTCTTGCATCGGCTGCCGCCACGCTCCTCCACCTCGATGAGCCGCGGGCTCACGTCTTCCTCGGCAATAGGTCCGGCATCGACAAGATCGACGGGTGGTACCTCGACATCGGCGCCACCCACCACATGACCGGGCGGCAGGAGTTCTTCTCCAAGCTCGACTCCGGTGTTCGAGGCTCCGTCAAGTTCGGGGACGCCTCCACCGTGGAGATCAAGGACGTCGGCTTCGTCGTCTTCACCGCCAAGACCGGCGAGAACCGACTGCTCACCGATGTCTACTACATCCCTACGCTGAGGAACTCCATCATCCGCCTAGGATAGCTGGATGAGAACGGCTCACGCATGGAGATTGAGCACGGGGTTTTGCGTATCTAGGATCACCATCGTCGCCTTCTTGTCAAGGTGAACAGAGGCCCCAACCGCCTTTACGTCCTCCACGTGTAGGTGGCGCAGCCCGTGTGTCTTGCAGCCCGTCGCGATGACGACTCCTAGCGGTGGCACGAGCGCTTTGGGCACCTCAACTTCGAGGCCCTGAAGCAGCTCGGCAACAAGGAGATGGTGCATGGCATGCCGCGAGTCGAGCACATGGAGCAGTTCTGTGACACCTGCATCCTCACCAAGCAGCGACGGCTCCCCTTCCCCCGCTAGGTGAGCTTCCGCGCCGAGAAGCTAGAGCTCGTGCACGGTGACCTCTGCGGCCCCGTGACACCGGCCACACCTGGAGGCCGACGCTTCTTCCTACTCCTCATCGACGACGTGTCCTGTTACATGTGGGCGGTCCTACTCGACACCAAGGCGGTGGCTACGGACGCCATCAAGCTGCTGCGAAGAAGGAGTACGGCCGCAAGCTTCGGGTGCTACGCATCGACAACGGCGGCGAGTTCACGGCAGCTGAGTTCACGGCGTACTGCACCGACGAGGGGATCCAGCGCCACTTCTCTGCGCCGTACACCCCACAGTAGAATGGCATCGTTGAGCGCCGCAACCAGACGGTGGTGGCCACCGCCCATACCCTCCTCAAGCAGAGAGGGATGTCGGCCATCTACTGGGGGGAGGCAGTGATGACTGTCGTCCATCTCCTCAACCACTCGCCCACTAAGGCCCTTGATGGCAAAACGCCGTACGAGGCCTGGCACAAGCCTGTGGTGATCCACCTCTGCGTCTTCGGCTGTCTCGCCTTCGCCAAGGAGCTCAACCACGTCGGCAAGCTCAACGACCGGAGCTCGCTAGGGGTCTTCATCGGCTACGCGGAGGGTGTCAAGGCCTACCACATCCTCAACCCTGCAACATAGTGCGTCCGCATCTCTCGGGACGTCGTGTTTGATAAAGGGCGAGGCTGGGCCTAGGACAAGGCGGTGGACGACGGCTCGACTTCGACTCTCAGATACTTCATCATCGACTACGTCCACTTCGAGGGAGCCGGGGGAGCTAGCAGCTCATCTTCACCGAGCTCGTCTACCTCAGCACCCGGCTCGCCATCAGCTCCAGCGAGTACTCCACTGCCTACACCACCAGCAAGTCCTCCACCATCTGTACCATCGGCTACGCCCCGCTCTCCTACACCAGCTCCCCAATCTCCTGCATCGGCGCCCACACCTCTGAGATCGGCACCAGGAGCCTTGTTCCGTGATGAGCAACGCACGGTGGAGTTCGCCACTCCGCTGTCCAACGACGAGGATCGCGTCGATGCCTACCACGACGACGAGCCTCTACGCTACCGCACCTTGGACAACATCTTCGGTGATCAGCCCATTCCTGGACTAGCGATGCACGACTTCGAGGCAGAGCTGCACCTGGCGCACGAGGACGGTGAGCCCCGCTCCTTCGCTGAGGCAGAGGGAGACGCGGCATGGCGCGCCGCAATGCAGCAGGAGATGGACGCGGTCGAGTGGAACCGGACGTGGGAGCTGGCGGATCTTCCTGCCGGCCACCGCACCATCACCCTTAAGTGGGTCTACAAGCTCAAGAAGGATGAGGTCGGGGCGGTGATCAAGCACAAGGCACGTCTGGTGGCGCGCGGGTTCGTCCAGCAGGATGGAGTCGACTTCGACGACGCCTTTGCCCCCGTTGCGCGGATGGAGTCCGTCCGTCTCCTCCTCGCACTAGCGGCCCAGGAGGGTTGCCGTGTGCACCACATGGACGTCAAGTCCGCCTTCCTCAACGGTGACCTGAAGGAGGAGGTCTACGTCCACCAGCCGCTGGAATTCGTCATCCCCGGCAAGGAGGACAAGGTTCTTCGCCTACGCAAGGCCCTCTACGGTTTGCGGCAGGCACCCCGAGCTTGGAACGCCAAGCTGGACTCCACTCTCAAGCAAATGGGGTTCCAGCAAAGTCCTCACGAGGTTGTAGTCTACCGGCAGGGCAAGGGAGGCAATGCCCTGTTGGTAGGCGTCTACGTCGACGATTTGGTGATCACCGGCATCAAGGAGGCCGAGGTGGAGTCATTCAAGGAGGAGATAAAGGCGACCTTCCAGATGAGCGACTTGGGCCTTCTCTCCTTCTACCTGGGGATCGAGGTCCACCAAGACAGCTCTGGCATCTTCCTTCGCCAGACCGTCTACGCCAAGCGCATCGTCGAGTTGGGCGGGCTCACCGGCTGCAACCCAGCACACACTCCCATGGAGGAGAGGCTGAAGCTGAGCCGCGACAGCACAGCGAAGGAGGTCGACGCCACGCGGTATCGGCGCATTGTGGGCAGCCTTCGCTACCTCGTCCACACACGGCCGAACCTGACATTCGCCGTTGGCTACGTCAGTCGGTTCATGCAGCGACCGACGACGGAGCACGAGCAGGCCGTCAAGAGGATCCTCCGCTACGTCGCGGGCACTTCCGACTATGACTTGCACTACCCGAGGTGTCCCGGTGCGGAGCACTTCATCGGGTACAGCGACAACGACCTCGCCGGTGACATCAACACAAGCAAGAGCACCAGCGGGACGCTATTCTTCCTCGGCAAGTGTCTAATCAGCTGGCAGTCGGTCAAGCAGCAAGTGGTGGCTCTGTCTAGTTGTGAGGCGGAGTACATCGCTGCCACAACCGCTTCGACTCAAGCTCTCTGGTTGGCTCGGCTACTAGGCGATCTCCTAGGCAGAGACGCAGAAGCAGTGGAGCTCAGGGTGGACAGCAAGTCCGCCTTGGCCTTGGCGAAGAACCCCGTCTTCTATGAGCGCAACAAGCATATCCGAATCAAGTACCACATCATTAGGAGTTGCTTGGATGAGGGGAGCATCAAGGCCGGCTACATCAACACCCAGGATCAGCTCGCCGACCTTCTCACCAAGTCCCTTGGGCGGGTCAAGTTCCAGGAGCTTCGCGCCAGGATTGGGATGGTTCAAATTCCCCAGAAGACGCCACACAAGACTTAGGGGGAGAATGACAGTTATAAGTCTTGTCCTTATCTACTTAGGATATATCCTAAGTAGATAAGAACAAGACTTATAGCTGTCAATTGCCACAAAGTTGTAATATACAAATACGGAGTACCTTACAGAGGGAGGCATGTATGAGTAAGATAAACAAAATCTTCAGCACAAAGTAGTGAACGCTCAAGAAAACAAACAGAAAAAGGTTAATAATGAAATTTGTCTGGCTGCTGCTACCAGCTACGCAGGTGTTTTTGGCTAGACCTCTCCATGATGGAATGGAACTTCAGTTCTAACTGAAATTTGTCTGGCTGCTGCTACCAGCTACGCATGTGTTTTTGGCTAGACCCCTCCATGCTGGAATGGAACTTCAGTTCTAACTGAAGAACTTATCAAACTTTGTCTTGGATCCATTCCCCAGGCCCAGCATTGCCAAATCCTTGATACAGCTAACAAATCAAACCAAGTACCTGGGATCAAACTGTCACTTATCTGCAATATTTAGTCACTGGCTGCTCTGCTCTTTGCTACCTGTGCAGCAGCATAATCATTTAAGAAGTGCTGCTGCTTCACCCTCACGTGTGCTATCTATAACTGCTAAACTAGCTATTACAGACTCGAATTTTGAGTGAGGTGCTAGGGGAGTGCAAACAATGCTCGCACTGGACCACTAAACACACGAAAGGCTGAGGCTGGAATTCTCCTTGTGCAAGTCATGTTAGACTATTTGTTTGTTTATTTTCAGCTGCCATGCCACCTGAATTATCTAGCAACTCAACTTATGTCTAAAACCTCAAGTGATATGAAAGCAAAGGTAAGACACTTGTTTGGACCTTTTTCAGAAGTTAGGGAACTAAGATCAGCCATCATGCCATGCAGAAATCAAGGGTTGAAATTGTCTATGAATCCATAGGGAACAATAACTTGTACAGGAGAACACCTAGAAGAAATACCAACAAACAAATTTAACCAAACCTTAGTTCCAAGCCGTTTGTTAAGGGCTTCTTCCCACATATTACCAGCATACTCTGGTTGAAGCTTGGTCCATACAGTCATAACAGAAGCAACCTGTAGATCATTCATAAAGATTTCAGTAACAAAGCTAATAAACCATTCACGAAATGCAGAGTCAAACCTAAAATGTTAAAAGAAAAACTGGAATAGAAACCACTACCATAAGTTTAACGTGTTACTATATCTATAGTAAGGGCTTGTTTGTTGGAGCTACAGTTCTTGGGCTTTTGGCTCAAAAGTTGGCTTTTGAGTTTTTGGCTTTCTGACTGTTGGTTTTTGCTATTGACTTTTGTAATAAACTTTTAGTTCTCAGCACACCAAATGCCAGAAAAGCTCCTCTGAGCGTGCTTTTCAGTTTTAAGTTGAAGCCAGTTTTCTAGCTTTTCAAAAGCCAGCGCAACAGCTAGGCTGTTTGTTTTAGCTTCTGGCTGGCAGAAGCCAGCCAAAAGCTGAAACATACAGGATCTAAGAATCAGAACAGTATTGTAGTAAGTAGAAAATTAGTCAGGTGAACTTGCAGTACACACCATCAAACACAGGACAAGATATACAGCACATATATAGCCAGGTTTAGCAGTAAAATGATCTTCAAAGCTGTACATGTAGAATCATACCACATGAGCATCTCATGGTGGTGGATAATTATCACTGATGGTATCAATCCAGTTAAATATCATATTGTGATACCCATAAGGCTTCCCATTCATGCTTTTTGCATAAATCCAGGCTGCTGTTTCATTAATTTTGCTTGCAAATCTGGATGCAAAGGAAGCAGTGCAATCTGAGGATTTGAGTCATCCTTTGTCACTTCAAACTCCCACCATTCCTCCCAGGGCAGGATAGCAATAACATCTTCTCCCTGCAATCCCGCCATTTGTTAGCTTAATTTTGGACACTGAAACTGCTCCAGCTCATAAAGAAAAATTGCACTACATTGGAGGGAACCCATTGCCATTGGTACACAATGTTCTATAAGATATAGTTAATATAGTCACCTAGTCAGATAATGCTGAATATCTGTTGAACTCGATTATTGCATGGAATAGAATGAAATACGAAACAACTAGCTCTGCTGGAACTTGCCCAAGTTGTATTCCCACAGCATATAATTTGCATCCAGACAAAACAGCTATGGTTGGCACTTGGCAGTGGCGTCCCTTGTTTTGGCTTTCCTATTTTAATGTTTTATTTTCTGTTCTGTTAAGCAAATATCTGAGATGCATTCAGAGGATTTGGGAAAACAACATTATCCATACAAATTTAGAATTTTTTTTTCTCGAATACGTAAAAGATTTGCGCATCATTGTAATTAAGGTAGAAGAATTTAATCATACAAACGACGCGCTTCAGACGAGTGCCCTAAGAGGTCTAGGGGACATTTAGAATTTTAGATACAGACAAGAAAATGATTTTCTGGTTAGTACATGCTATGCAAAGCATTAGAGTGTATCCTAGTGAAATAGTCCAAATTCAAAATTCATATTGTGCAGTAATTCGTTCATTCCATGAAATTGTTGGCAAGCATATTGTCATCCTTTTTTTTACCATAAATTAAAGGGGACACTTTAAACATCATTTTGAATAGAAGAGTTACAAGCTAATCAATATAACCAAAACTTATCATCCAACATTATCTTCATGATGTTTATTCACTGATATCTAACATGATTGAGAGATAATATTCATTCTAATTCGATAATCACACAGAACGAGAAAAGAATAAAAAATGAATAAGATGGCTAAGGACCGGACCTGTTCATTTTCATTACCAGATTCCCCAACCCAAAGCTTTCCATCAGAGTCCCTAAGGCAAACCGCAGTATGGCCTGCATAAGCGCCAGTAACCCACTTCTCCAGTGTTTCAAAACCACCCCAACGCCCACGGATCTTCGATAAAACCAAGAAATCTCCAGAGTGGATATCATCAGGATTTAACTCTGAGACCCGGGGTTTCGGCCGTTCCTCAAAGGTGGCACCCATATGCTTCTCGAGAAAAGCAAGATTCGCATTCTCACCCCACGCAGTATTTGTGAACAGAGGGAAGACCTCCCAAAGTGCTCGAAGTGTGCCAATTGTTCCAGATGGCATGAGGAAAATGGACACACCATTACGTTTCACCTATTTTCAGGTAACAGGGTAGAGGATTTGTATCAACTATGGATTAAATAAATAAGAATTTTTGTATTAATGATGTATAAGTTGAAGAAATATTGATCATATAAAGTAAAGCAGAAGTGAATACTTACATATTCATACTCAGCCTCACTTTCCCATTCTTCGAAATCAAGAGTGTGCTCTCGCCCCAAAAAGTAGTAGTCCCATGTAACTCTGTACGGTGTTGCAAATACATACAGATCTATGCAAGTCCAGCTGTGTGCTTTGGATGTCTACGGAAAGCATAGTCGATTTTAGAGTTAGGCAAAGGAAATCAACCTCGCAGAAAATTGAGGCCAGAATTTTACTGAAAGTACACTGCAAGAGCAAAGTGGAGTACTACTAAATAGACGGGAAAACCGTACGTTTAAAATAATTCGTGGAACTAACGCAATAGGCTTTAGATTTTATTTAATTGAATTGAACACAACCTCAGAATCACCAAATTTCAACTGGTGACCTCGCCCCCCACTAACTCCATCGTCCGCTTACCTCCACATGGACTATGCCGCCTCTGAGGCCCCCGCCGGTCCTGTTGCGTGACAGACCTGTGGCCGCCGGCGAGACGCCGTCGACGTGAGCACGACAAGGGATCGCCGGATTCGGCCGAGCGACGGAGGAATCTCACTCCGGCTCTTTACTGTATTTGTAAATATATTGTCGATGCTTATTACAGAACAGAGTTCGGAAATATAAGGGCTCACGGCCGCTGCCTAAACCTGGTCCCACATGTCATACAAACGCAAATACATAAATGACTTGACTACGCTTCTCCTCAACGAATACACCTTCTTACTTCGCCTGTGTCTTCACCCTTGCGCCGTGACATCTCCCCCCGCTGAAGGTTCTGCTTGTCCCCAAGCAGGTGTTGCTGGAAAACGCTTCTTGACGACGTGATAGTCCTCCCAAGTTGTTGAGTCCTGTGGTAAGCCTGTCCAAGTGATTAGTACCTGTGGAACAGCGTTGTTACCTTTCTTGACGAGTGTGCGTTCGAGGATCTTCTCAGGTAGGGCTTCTGTGGCTTCTAGGTCTGTCATTGTAGGTAGTGTTTTGTACACCGGAGTGTAGTCAGGATGAAAAGCCTTCAACTGTGATATGTGAAACACTGGGTGTATAGAACTGTCATCAGGCAATTGCAAACGATAAGCCACTGCTCCAATCTTCTCCAGGACTGTGTATGGTCCGAAAAACTTGTATGACAATTTGGGAAATGGTCTATTTGCTACCGAGGATTGAGTATAAGGTTGAAGGCGCAGTAAGACTGAATCCCCGACTGAGAATTGTTGATTAGTTCGATTTCTGTCTGTAAAAATTTGCATCCTATTCTGAGCCTGTTGAAGCCCTTGCTTGAGATTCTGTAGATGGAGATCACGATCCTCAATGAGTTGGGTTACTGATGGTGACGCTTCTGGTGTTGGAGAGGGATTTCCACCCAGATCAGGGTCATACCCATACAATGCCTTGAAAGGGGAACATCCAATTGAACTATGGTATGAGGAGTTGTACCAAAGCTCAGCTAGTGGCAGCCATGACTTCCAGGTCTTTGGGGAATCTTGTACTGCGCATCTTAAATACATTTCAAGTCATTGATTGACCCTTTCAGTCTGCCCATCTATTTGGGGTGGTATGCTGTACTCAAGTTGAGGTTGACCTTGAGATTATGGATTGAGGCATACCATGAAGTTTCACAATATTGTCTAGGAACAGTTTGGCAATAGAGTTGGCAGTGTAGGGGTGTCTGACAGGAATGAAATGTGCAAACTTTGTAAGTCTGTCCACTATTACCATGATGACAGAGTACCCTTCGGATTTTGGTAAGCCCTCAATGAAGTCCATAGACAAATCCTTCCAGACACCAGCTGGGATTGGTAGGGGTTGCAACAATCCAGCTGGGTGAGTATGTGAGTGTTTTGCATGATGGCAGGTCTTGCACTGTTTGATGTAGCAATCCACATCAGTTTTCATCCCTTTCCACACAAAGTGTCTTTTGAGCCTGTGATAAGTTGCATTGACTCCAGAATGGCCACCAATGGCACTGGAGTGACATGCAGCAATCAATTTTGTTTGGAGGGTAGAATTGTTGCCAATCCAAATGAGGTCATGATGCTTGATCAGACCTTGGTGAATGCTGTACCCATTTGCATCTGGGCTGCTGACCGAAAGCTGTGTGATAAGTGTTGTGCATGAGGGTCTGTTGTATAAGAGTTCAGCACTTCCTGTACCCATTGTGGCTGCACCACTGATACTGCTTGTATAGCTAGCATATGAGCCACCCTGGACAAAGCATCTGCAACCATGTTCTCTTTGCCTTTTCTGTATTTGACTTTGAACTGAAGGCCCATTAGTCTTGTCATTGCTTTTCTTTGCATATCAGAGTGAAGATTTTGTTCTGAAAGATATGCCAAGGATCTGTGATCAGTCAAGATGACGAATTCCTACCTTTGCAGATAGTGTCTCCACTTTTCCACTGCCATTATCAATGCCAAGAATTCTTTCTCATAGATTGAAAGTTGTTTATGCTTTTCTCCTAGAGCTTTGCTGAGATAAGCAATAGGCTGCCCATTCTGCATCAACACTGCCCCTATTCCATCTATGCAAGCATATGTTTCAACTGTGAACTGAGCTTGAAAATTTGGAAGTGCAAGGACAGGTGTTGTTGTCATGGCTGTTTTCAAATTGTGAAATGCTGTGTTGGCTTGATCAGTCCATTGAAATTGTTTGTTCCTGAGTAGTAGTGTGAGGGGTTTTGCTATAATTCCATAGTTTTTCACAAATTTTCTGTAGTAGCCAGTTAACCCCAAAAATGCCCTAAGTTCTGTGAAGGATGTTGGTATTGGCCATTGGAGCATTGCCCGAGTCTTGTCTGGGTCTGTAGACACCCCCTGATCAGAAATAATGTGGCCCAAGTATTCTAGACACTGCTGAGCAAATGAGCACTTAGATGCTTTGAGGTATAGCTTGTTGGTTCTTAGTGTCTCCAACACTTGTTGCAGATGCTGGATATGTTCTTCTATGGATTTGCTGTATATGAGAATATCATCTAAGAACACCAAGACAAACTGCCTGAGGAAGGGTTGCAACACTTGATTCATAATGCATTGAAAAGTTGTTGGTGCATTAGTCAACCCAAAGGGCATGACCTTAAACTGATAGTGGCCCTGATGGGTTTTAAATGTTGTCTTGTGTTCATCTGCAGGCAACATCCTCACTTGGTGATATCCAGATCTCATATCTAACTTGGTGAACACCTTGGAGCCTTGTAAAGTTGTAACTCATCCAATATTTCTTCAATAATGGGCATTGGAAATTTGTTCTTGATAGTGATTGAATTGAGCTTTCTGTAGTCTATGCAAAACCTTCAACTACCATCTTTCTTCTTGACCAAGAGCACTGGGGATGCAAATGGACTATGGCTGTGTGTGATGAGTCCATGATCCAACAGTTGTTTCACTTGGTTTTCTATTTCAATTTTATGCTGAGGTGAATAATGGTAAGGCCTGGAATTGATGGGACAGCATCAGACATAAGGGGAATGGCATGGTCATAACTTCTTGGTGGTGGAAGGGCTTGAGGATCCTTGAAGACATCAGCATATTGATGCAACAATAGCTGGACATCCTCATTGGGAACCATTGGTACTGAGTTGTTTGCTGCTAGCTGTTCCTTGATGGTGTCCAGCACAACATATGCCCAAATATCATTTCCCTATGTTGATTTGTAGAACTGCTTAGCTGAGATTGTACTCAATTGCAATGGGTGGGGCTTGATGCGTCTCAGAGTAACACTGGTGCCCTTATGCTGGAATGTTAAGGTTTTGCCTACCCAGTCACACTGCATTGGGCTGTGGCTCTCTAGCCAGTCATATCCCAAAATAGCATCATATGGCAAGAGGTCCAACACAATCATGTCTGATGTGAATGTATGGCCTTGAATATACCATGTGAGATTTGGTACCATAGTCGCAGTTGTCATCCACTCTCCATTGGCAAGTTTCACTTTTTGATTGTCCATTGGGATTGTTTGTAGTTTGGTCAACTGCACAAAATGGGAACTAACAAAGCTGTGGGAACTCCCAGTGTCCACTAAAGTCAACATTGTCTTGTTCTTGATAGTGGTCTTCAGCTTGATGCAATCCTTGGATTTAGTACCAGCCATAGCGTTCAATGACAATTGATAGAAGTCTTCAGTCAACAATTCATCTATTGCCATTTGATTAAGAAGATCCTCATTGATCTCTTTATCTAGATCATTAACCACTAGAGCATTGATTTGTGGTTTGGTCTTCTTTGTACAGACCTCAGCATGGCCAGGCTCAAATTTTTCTCCATAGTGATAGCACAAATTGTTGGATTTCTGTAATCTCTCAGTTGTTTGTCCCTCCATAAGTTCCCATATCTGCCAGTATTGGCTTGGTCAGGTTTGTGTTGCTGTTGTCTAGCTGGATTGTTAGCTCGCTGATATTTCAGTTTGTTTCTCTCTACGACCCTTTGTTGTATCTTTGCTATAATAGCAGCCCTTTCGACTGTGGTTAGAACCTGGGGTTCCACAATTGATTTAATGTCTTCCTTGAGGCCAGTCACATAAGTTGTTGCAAAGAATAGCTCATCAAAGTTGCTACTGTGTATGGACACCTGAAATTATAGTTTTTGGAATTGAGTGGTGTATTCTTCCACTGTCCCAGTCTGCTTCAGATTCAATATCTCCTGGACAGTTGATCTGTAATCATCGGAGCCAAATTTTGATTGCACAGTTAAGCAGAAGTATGTCCATGAGATCTTTCTGTGAGCCTGCTTGTAAGCCTGCCACCACATAGCTGCATTGCCTTGCAAATGCATAGATGCTGCAGTTACCCAAAGCCTCTCTAGAATAGTGTATATGGTGAAGTAGTTCTCACAGTTATCAATCCATATCTTGGGGTTTTCACCATCAAAGGTTGGTAATTGCATTTTGGGAAGGTGTGATGTGGGAGGTCCTATTTCTTTGTGTGGTGCTGGGTGTGTCGAGGTTGTTTGGAAGTGGATGGTTTATGGCTGTCTTTGGTGTGGGCAAACACATTCTGGAAGTCCTCTTCCTCAAAGATGACAGACACTGAACCATCACTAAATTCTTGTGGCTCTTTATCAAATTGCTGAAGAGTGAGCTGTGCAACAGCTTGACCATTTGCTCTGATCTGTTGTGCTATGAATTATTGCTAAGCTGCACACTTATCGACTTTCTTGTTGTTCTCTTGCATTTGAGTCTTCAGCTCCTGCTGGATGACGCCAATATCATTCATTCGGTGGAAAAGCAAATCAACGCTCTCCATGATCTGGTCCCAGCGGGACTTATCATCTTCGTTGCTCTTTGACATGTGGTCTAGCAGGATCTGAGTTTGCTTCGAAGGTTTCGGTGGAGCCGTTGCGGCAAAGTGTTGAACGCTTGAGGACTCCACTGTGAAGCAACAGGCTTGGTCGAAGCCTCCCCTACTGCGTGCTTCACCAG